CAGTTGTACCTTGCACTGTTTTATTGAATATTTTTAAATCTGCTACTGCAGCAAGATGAGAAGCGTTCAATTCAGTCAAACTGCTCCATTAGCTGATCTTTCCACACGACATGGTGCGGCCTTAAATAATTAATTAATTAATAAAAGCAATGAAAAATTAAGTATTTAATTAATCTAAAATATATTATTACCATAGCTTGTACAGGATCCTGATCATATATTTTTCACTTATTTTCTACTGCGGAGAAAACGATAAAAATTACGTTCTACTCGAAAATAAGAACAAAGAAAATCGGATAATCCGTTCAACTGCATTGTTCTTCAATTTGTATGTACTCAGAAGAGAAAAATAAACGAAAAATGTGCATATGTGTTAGTGCTGCCCGAAATCATGTGAGTGTATTGGTGAACCCATCAGCCAGTCCGTTCTTGCAGGGAACTGAATTAATATTTTTAAGCTGGTGGCAACACTCTGCAACAATATTTGGCATTACAAACAATCTAAAATTACCTTCTTTCGTGGCGACCGCAGTAGCCAAATGGTTCGAGTCCTGTTCCGACCAACATCCAAAGTTACAGGAATCTAATTTTCCCTCGACGGAGCATACGAGGGTGTATTCATATACGTTCTTGTCCTGTGACCAGCCACTCAACTGCGTTTTTCACGCTTAAATTACACGGCAAAACAGGAGAATCGAGGTTTGATGCTTCGGCATTTTGTTAGACATTTCTTGAATGTAGTAGATAGAAGAGCATTGATAGATACGGAGGCTCTCCAGATCAATTGAGTGGTTTCTATCCCACCAATAATTTAGATTGGCAGTTCTAGCGAATAACTTCCTAAAGTATAATCAAAACTTCTACGGAGCCGATCATTGAGCCGGGAAGAAATTTACTGAGCTCACTGTTCACCAGGCTTAATTTCTGAACGGAAAGAGAACCGCGAAATGCCTGGACATAGATCCGCACACTCAAATATAAAGCTGTAGTTTTTAGAGAGTTTGTTTGTGTTATCGTCCTCAGAATCAATGAAAAGAATTAACACTGTTTTTATATAAAAATGTCTTGCTTTATTGATTTAGAGAATAATGGCAATATAGGTCAATACTTCGTAATAAATAAAAAAATTATTTTCCAGTCGAAATGAAGAATCGTAATGGAGCTCATAACAACCGACTATAATATCCATCTTGTTTCAAACCGCCTCGGATGGTAATATCAATTCGGTTCCAAAAGGTTTCAGAGTCCACAGTTGTAATCAAAAGATCGACAAATCCTTTCCACTTTCTTGCACACTTTCTAATTATTACGCACTGCGAGTATTTCATCTTTTATAGCGTCGGCTAGTTGTGACTTGCACATCTTCAACTTCTGCACCTTATACTTGGCTGCATTTTCATTGAGTTCCTTGGCTTTTCGCCGCAAGTAGGGTACCAAATTATTTTTATATTCACAAAACTCCAATTCTCGCAACAGATTCTCCAGTGAGACCTGCGCCAATTTGTAGCGATTAAAGTAGTATTGCATGCTGGACTGTGGCTGCTTTTCGTCGCCTTCGAAGTCTTCGCGATCCGCATGCTTCGATTTCTGGCAAACATTTTGACATAACTGCGCCACACCTTCCGCGTACTTGCAATCGTAATATTGTTTCAGAGCTTTGTAAATTTTCTCGAAACATTTTTCGAAACGCTCGGTCCATGTATAAAGCTTACGTTGTATAACTGAACGCGTCTGTGCTGACTGTTTCGCTGACAACGGACTGTTCTGTACGCCGCCACCTTTCAAGCGGTCTTCAGGCGCCTCCGTCCAATCATTGTCCGCGCTCGTTAGTTTCCTATGCGCCTCCTTCATGCCGGTGTAAGCGCAGTGTGCCATCTTCAACATATCACCAGCTATTTGTCCTCCATCCAGTGAGACATCGAAAATTATCCACCACGGTTCGCCACCACCGAAATGCGCACTTATACAATCGTTTATGAGCATGCTGCGCTCATCGGCAATACCACGCCGCATTGGTCTCTTCAACGGCGGTGTTGGCGTGCGCAGCAAGCGACACATGCTGCGCTTCGAATTCGCATCCAGCTTATGTAAGTACAAATTCATAATGACCAAAGTGACACGATGAATCACATAACGTGGATCTTCGAACTCATATTTCACCTCGATCACCTCATGCCATTGACCCACGCCGAAGAGACGACGATACTGCGAGTCCAGCCATCTATACAGTTGCTGCGTGGTGCTGAAACTTATATCGCTACGCAGCAAATGAAAGAAATGGCCGGTGATGGGATGTTGGCGCAGATCGTAGTATTGCAACTGAACGCCCGTGAGCTTGCATTGCATCATCTGTAGGCGTCGGTCCACGTTGCGTACCAACAATTGATGGAGAAAACAGCAGGGGCAGTGGCGTTTACTGCAGAAGCGCTGTAGACAACAGTTTTTGCAGTTCTCGAGCAGTTCGTGTGTGAGTGCGAACATCTCGTTGCGTGTGCGCGGATCCGTGCCGCTGCCTACAAAATCGAAGTGTACACGACGAGTTGTCTGTTGAGTGCCAGCTTCCTGAGAATTTTGAGAGTGCCCTGGTTGGTCTTCACGTCCCGCATTCTCCCGCAGCAGTTCATTGCACATTACTTTGCGTACGCTGCTGCGTGCGGCTTGCAGAAGCCTCTGGGAAGTTTTCGGCGCAAAGTTCCCGCCTATATTTTCTCCAGATGTTTTTACTGCCATGGACATTTTTGCTATTTTTGTTACTATTGATTTTTAATAATTTTGCTTGACAGACTTTAGTTTTGTTTATTTTCAATTTCCAATCTTATATTTTCAAAATTTTCGGAGACGGTTACGAAAAAATGATCTTTCAGCGCACAAGCATACTCACATCAATCAATCCAGTACTTTTAAAGAAAGCCTTTACATTCCGAGCTCACTAAGAGTAGGACACAAGTTTAATACTGTGCTATTGCTATGCTCGAGGGATACGTGGATGTCTCTGTTGGAACTTAATTCTATCATAACATACTCCTTCCCAACTTCGTTCCTTCGAAAGATGGTTAGGTGTTGCAATGTGGCTGCTCGGTCTTCTACCGTTGGGCGCTTGTTGTTGTTGTTGTTGCTGTCGTAACCACAAAAATATTCCCCAAAGTACTTTTTGGTGATGTTGCGGGAGTGACAGTCCTTGGCCGGATCAAAATCTGGGTCGTTCCGTAATAAAGACCCGACTGTCGCGGGAGCTATTGGTTTTAATTTTCCTCTTACGACAGACATGCCTTACCGTGGCAAACTCTTGAACACCGAACACCGAAAGAAGGGGGGATTGGGCGCATGTCACTGATGTTTCGTTCCATACTTAATGGAAGGAAGTTTTAATCTCTCCGATTTTCGACCTCTTTCCAGAGCATTGACTCTAATCATTTCTACTCTACTCCTGACATTCGACATTGGGTTTTACATCAGACTAGCGAAAGTTTAGCAGTGCAACCTCGCACACTCGGAAAGTCACAGCTCTCGCTTATATGAGCTTTATGTCCGTTCACTGTATGACAAGTATTTATATGATACAGCTAAAAATCCTGCTTCATCCATGCTGCCTGAGCCGTTTGCAAGAGAACAAAGGAGAACAAGTCCTTTTCCCTACTGTACTGATCATAAATTTGAGCTCCGCCCAGACCACTTTTTCTTAGCTGCTCGCCATTGCTACTTTGATCCATCTCTAACCCATCAAAATTCTCTGACAAATTTTGCTATGGACCTTAAGCTTAGAAGCTGACAACCCACTTCATCTTTTTACTTATGTGCTGGCATAAATACATATTAAGCGATTGAAGCCGAGTTAACAACATTGCACCATTTCCTTCTTCTTTCCGCAGTTCGGCGTCAATTTTTAATACCAAGTCCAGCCAGGTCCTACATCTAATCGTTTTATGGGCTGCGGCATTCGCCGTTACCAGCTCTCAGAGTTCTGAAAGCTCTTTTGGTACCGAACAGCTCGGAGAGGTACTTCCCGAACCTGACTCAGATTTTGATGTTACACACAGTGGTATAAGTTTTGCGAGGATGCGGAATCACCTGTCACAGGAGTCGATCAATCAGTTGAGGAATTACCCTTTAAGATATCTACCAGAAGTAAACAAAACCTCTCAGGCCCAAACAGAAGAATATACACGACTATACCTAGTCAATCCCGTAATACTTAAGGGTACAGCGAGAAAAGACGTGGTTCTATAACACCGAAAGACGTCTAGAACGCTTCACAGAGAATAAGTCAGGAGCTACTGCAGTTGTCTTTTCGTAAAGGTATTATTGGAACACAACAAGACCAATACCTCATGTATTCATACTCGACCTCGCATTAACCAACTCATATCTAGCATCCGCTATGATGAATTCTCGCATGTTACTAGCCAACTCTTAGCACGTTCCATTTAACCATAACCACCTTTCTTTCCGAATAGTTCATTTGCTGGGCTTCCTGTTATCCAACTTTCGTGACTTCGACCAGCTGATTTTGCTTCTAAACTTAGTTAACAGGCCGCCATATAGACAACAGCGTTTGGTTCAATCCTCGATCAGTTGGTTGAACAGAGTTTTTGTTGTTATAGCGGTTCGCGAACTACGAGTAATCCCGCTAAATGTTTTTAGCTCTGTCGCAAGGTATTGACAGGCTTATAAGAGTCCAACTTGTCTCTATAACTTTAACAGTATCTTTTTCAAAACCGCGCTTTGAGATCCTTTCAACTTCTCTTCACTTTGTGTAAAAAGGCGAGCTAAAGCTTTCACCGCAACCGCTCTTTTGCCAAAGCTTTTTGGGGTCTACTGAAGGCGTCTTTGGTTCTGAAGATATCTTCGCTTACGGAAACCAGCACTGTTTCTCCAGCACGGTGGTAAAGTCACACTGCTGCTCAGCTCTACCACTGCACCAGGTGGACCGATTGTCTAAAAATTTCTGTTTTGAAATTAAAAAAAAAAATCCCTGTAATTTAAGATCCAGAGACGAGAGATATTTTCAGTTCAATCACAAACAATTCCGATAAACGAATTTTATTATTCCAAATTTTTGCCATTTTTTTAGTCGTGAACCGAAGAGCCGCATTCGAAGTGCTAACAAATTAGACAGCAAATGTTAATTGAATTTTGGTTGTGAGCCTTCTCTCTCAGGCCAGAAGACATCACCAAAATACAAATACACTTTACTAAAGGAAAAATTGTGGTTTTGGCACCGTTGAAGACACGCCAAACTAAGCACTGCCCGTTATTGGAGTTTTCAAATGTAACGGTTTAGCGAACTCGCCACTCGCTCCATTCTTCGTCAACATATTCCTTTCGGTCTTAATCGTTTCAATCAAACAATTCTGGCAGGTCTCTAAATGGCGCAGCTTACAGCTTGTCGCATAATCTTTGATTTCCTTCTTCTTCGCCTCAAGATAGACACGCAGCATTGCGCTGTCTGGCGAGTTTTCAATATCCTTGGCCAAACGTACAAATTCCTTCATAATTATTTTGTAATTTCTTTCGCATCGCTCCAAAGATTCCGACCGTTCGGAAGGGCGATTCGTATTGCCGTAGCACAGAATCGGCCGTATTGAGCCGAAGCTTAACATATTTTTCAGTTCGGTGCAAATTTTGCGTATATTTGTGTGATACTTGTATTCGTATAAGCTATGGATGTGACGCAGCACCGCGGGCACCAGCTGATCCATCTTCGAGTACCAAGTACTCAAATTACTCGACTGATTGTTGGTCCTGTTCGCAAATCTATTGGTACGTGCTGAATTAGCGGCATTAAATGTTGGACTATTTTGTGCCATACTTATTGCGGACGGCGCATCACGATCATTCGCACTCAGCCGCGAGTTGAGTGTCACTTGGCTGCCACATGTTATATCCAAAAACGACAACAGACTGCTCATTTCGAAATCATTCGTTGCTTTGATCTGCAAATATATGGGCGGTGTAAGTGTACGATTTTTAGAGAGTTGAAAACCCTTCGACATATGTTATCGGAACTTACATCTTCTGTTGAATCCTTGGCATTGATGCCGGCGTACGCCGAGCTTGCCAAGTTCAATTGGTCATCGATTATTATGCCACGACCCTTCGCTATCGGCACATGGAAAATAAACCAAGTATACCAATTATCCTTCGGACCCAATATTTCTCTCAGACAATCGGTAAGCACAACACTCTTGCGTCCTCTCTTCGCACTGCGTATATTCTCAAAACAATTACGCAAGCACGTCTTCGTATCACTATCCATATGACAGAGATAGACGTTCATGATGGATAGACGCACAGTGTGCACACGGCTTTGCGTGTCGCAGAAAGTGAACTCCAAGTCCATATTCTCTGTACCCTGACCTTTGGCGAAAAGCTGTAAGTATCTAGTTTGCAGCCAACGCAATAGGTCCAAGGTTGTATGGAATAGGTTTTGCGGCTGTGACTTACGTTTGCTCTTTACGGTTGCATGTGGTTGGTTGTCGCCAAGAAAATTGATGACGTCATATTTGCGTAAATCAAAATATTCAACCTGCGAAAAAAACGAGAAGTCCAACTCGAATTATAAAAAGGCAAGACCACAAACACACCTTAATAGCAATCAATTTAGCGCGCAAGGTCATCATACGTTTATCCACCTCGGAGACGAGCAGATTGCATAGGAAGGAGAGCTGGCATTCGCGTAACGGAAAGAACTGCAGCAAACAGCAACTGGACTTATTCAGAAAGAGCTCATCCATGAGCATAGCGAACTCCGCACGTACAAACGAGTTTCGCGCTGTGCCCACACAGTCGAAACGCAGTGGCTGTGTGTGCGCGTGCGATGCCCATTTAGCGTACGTGGATGACTTGGTGCCTCTATTCGCCGACATAGTTGAGTTCATCGAGAGATCCAGCACGTTGCGGAATTCCCCGGTGTCGCCACCGCGTACATCCTCATCCACTATTACGACTACACGTTGTCTCCGTTGCATTTTGGTTTTATGATCTAAGGACTTATTTAAAATTGCAAAAGTTTCGCCTCGAAAAGAGTACTCCGGCAGTTGGGAAGTCAACGAACAGCGTGGAAGTTTCGTTAAATTTTTTGCAAAAAAAATTATTTTTGTACAGATCTAAGCGCGCTCACACTTTAGGTTTTTTTTTTTTATTGAATTACAGAGATTTTCCAAAATAGATTTAACAATTTTGTTTGAAGAATTTTATGAAGACTTTTTCCCAAAAATTTTCAATATGAAATAAGGTGAAAACACGAAGTGTTATTGGTTCACTTTTTTCAAAAAAGAAAAAAAATATTCACAATGAACTATCTACCTCCAGAACGGAATCAAAAGCTTTAATTGAGTGCTATAATTTCAATGTTGTTGTAAAGATTCACCAACACTGCTTCGGAACAGGCGAAGCTAACCTGAGCCAACGAGGTCATCTACCGGTGAGAGCAGAAAGCGAGCTGTTCCGATGATTTCGGGCCGAAGGGAAAGGAGGCATGCAGAAGTGGGTAGTGATGTGTGGGGTATCATTGCAAGCAAGACATACGTTGGGTATATCGGGTAGAAATTATGTCGACTACAATATCAAAATCCCAATTATGTCGGTATTACTTAAGTCTCTCGCTGCAGCTCGAGCTCTTAGTTTGAATTGGAGCGCTATAGTTCAAGAAGGTGTTTTCAGACTGGCGGTCAAATTCATTTACTGCCCGTCGGTACACCATTCATTCCAGCAGTTCTTTAAGGAGTCGATATAGTCGAGGACTCCTTACTGATGGCCTGATGTGGAGGTTGGGATTCAAGTAAATGGCGCACATAGCATTGCAGTATGCTCCTTTCACTTTGTAAGTGATGCCTTGCGGCCGGCAGAAACCCCTTCCGGGTTAGGAATTTAAGAGATCACCCGCTATAAAAAATATTATAATTTTTTTTTAATATACCAGATTTTCTCAAAATTTACCTCAAGAAAAATAAAAGTTCGGGAACAGACTAAAAAGAAAGCTGCTTATCGTCTGCCAAGAACTTCATGCGATTAATCAGCAATCGATAAAACGGTAGTACCGCATCCGTTTATATGAGGCGGAATGTAAACAAAACAATAACAAAACATCCAATCTCACTTAAAGATGAGCTGTTACCGATTAATATGGCGGAAGGAGCCACTAGCGCTGCCATTACTAATTTTGCATTGAAAAAAACATAACGCAACATTCATTTTCCCACACATCAGATTAAAATTTTGTTGTTATTTCTCAAAACAAATTTGAATGATTAAAAGAAGTATTAAAACGGTTTAGGGATACTAAGAGATTCTAGAAAAATTTCAGCAACAGCTAATGAAGTCACAATAAGCCATATTGAACATATGCTGGCAAAATGGAGGAACCTCACCCTATGGATAAACCAAACACCCTATCTTTTCGTGAGCGCCAACAGCAGGAGTTGGAAGTAATAAAGGTTAGACATAAACTAGACTAATATTAATTGTCTCATCCTATTTAAAATGGTATTAACAATTATAGTCGATTTTCAATAAAGATGTGGATGTATTGCGACCCAACTGTATGCCAGACGTACCTGCTGCGCAGTGGAAACCAACCGAGGTACGGATATCGTTGACGCCGCTTCGTGATTCCAAAAATGATACACAGGAAATTCATGTACGCGCAAAATTGCACATTACCTGTCCCTCCAAATATCCAAAAGTGTGAGTACCTGTGCTGTATGCTATACTTTTGCAATTCAGAGTTTACAGTTATTTATCAACAACGAACAGCCCACCTAAAATACAGTTAGAAGATGTACAAGGCCTTTCCGATCGGCATATTAAGGAGTTGCTAAGACGACTACTTGTAGAATCTGAGACCTTGCGTGGCGAGGTCATGATTTACGAACTGACACAAGTAGTACAATCATTTCTACGTCGATACAATATGCCACCCAAGGGCTCCCTTTACGATCAAATGGTACAAGAAAATGAAAAACGTGAAAAAGAACGTCAGGAAATGAAACAACTTAAGGAACAACTAGAGCGGCAAACTTTAATGGAAGAAGTTGAACGGCAAAAAGAAATGTTCAAAACAGCGGTGAAACGTCGTGAAGAGCCACGCCGTAGTATGAGTGAAACTAATTATCAAGATCATTCTTCCGAAAGTTCTGAAAACTCATCACCCTATTGCCGCGGCCACTTCTACGCCAACAAATGTGTGGAACATCGGAATAGTGAAAGATTATATTTTCATAAAGTTGGTCGTCAAGTGCAAAGAGGTTCTTGTTTGGGTAAGAAATTGATAATTTATAATTACGTTATATGATGTTTTCCTCATTTTTTACATTGTAAGGTCACTCACAAAAAGGCTTTATCGCTTACACTGGCATTGACTTGGACAGCGGTCAATTACTTTATGTAACAGAATGGACCATCAAGTATTTACAATTAGATAAGAAATGCGGCATTGGTGGACATTGTTATTGGGTGTCAACAGAATCGAGATGTAATGGGAATCATCGTGTAGATGTCGTCATTTCCTCCATTGAAAAACAAGTGGCGTCTCTGGCGCAATTACAACACAAAAACCTCGTGCAATACGAATGTGTGCTATGTAAAAAAGGAAAAGAAGGTCTTATAGTTTACCTTGTGCAGGATTTTGTGCTCGGCACGAGCTTATCGAATATAACTACCACTATCGGTTGGTGTACTGAAGGTGTACGCATGGTAGCGCGTGGTGTCCTCGCGGCGCTTGTTTACCTACACAATAAGGGCGTATCACATAGCCGTCTATTGAGTAGCACTGTATTTATGGACAATACGGGCGCATTACGTTGCACAGACTTTTCGCTAGTGTCTAATTTATTGGAGCTTGTTGGAGGCGCAGAGCAGTCTACAACACAAGGTGACCTGCCAGATTTTGGGGCACTCGTCGAGAGTTTAATGCCATCGCAGACCTATGAAATGCGCGATTTCATTGAAAAGTAGTTACAGAAGTACTTCAAATTTTGTTTTCCTGATGCTCACTACTAAGTTCCTTTCAGGTGCAATTCAGAACGTACGCTTTCGGCGTCAGAACTGCTTGAACATCCTTTCTTACACACATCGCTGCCCGGTCAAGACGACAAAAACAATCAACTAGCAATTGCCTTGACACATAGAGGACCACGGCGAAAATCCAGTGGCACACCAGATGTTGCCGCTAGATTGGACACGAGAACACCTGATCGTGACTTAGAGCAACAACAACGGTCGCTGCAGTTGCAACGAAAACAACTGCACCAATTAGGTGCGTCTTCAGCATTCACACCTATTGTGCCCACTGGTCAATCAAGATTACACACTGAGTTTGAGATTTTGCAATATTTGGGAAAAGGCGCCTTCGGTGATGTTTTAAAGGTGGGTTCCCAAAAAAATCATTAAAATTTTTTGAAGTCATATTTTGCTAAAAATGTTCGCTTTGTTTACCAGGTACGGAATCTATTGGATAACCGTTCATATGCCCTTAAACGTGTACGCCTTTCGGCGTGTAATCGTACACTGTATAGAAAGATTCGTCGTGAGGTGGAATTACTATCACGATTGAATCACGAGAATGTGGTGCGTTACTATAATAGTTGGATCGAAACTGCAACTGATTCAGATGAAGAGGAAATGGTATAAACAAAATTATATTTACTAGTGTAAATTAAAAATGTTTGACAATAACTCAAACCCCTTTTTCTTTTATTAAAGGCAAAGCTGATGGAGGACGATGAAGACTCAAACACCAATGAAATTTGTTATCCGTCTAAATCTAACAAAATTTCTTTAGGCGCGAAGGAGAATGATGAAGAGAACTCGTCCAGCAGCATGTGGAGTGGATATGTGTAAGTATATTTCATTTCGTTGTATGATTACTATATAAACATTTGTATTGTATTTTTAATTAGACCAAATGATGATTCCGACTCCGATGGCATCGAATTTGTTGACTCCAACGGTGAGGTAGCCAATTACGATGATAATGAGGATGAAACTGAAAAAACCGAAGCATCAAAAAATGTCAAAAGAACCAACTTACCTCACGTTAGACAAGTTCTTTACATCCAAATGGAGTTTTGTGAAAAGTGCACCTTAAGGTGAGGAGTCGTATCTGTACTAAAAAATTTATATAACATACATATATAATTTGTATGTAGAACTGCTATAGATAGTAATCTTTGTGATAAACCTGACGACCTATGGCGATATTTTCGCGAAATTGCAGAAGGTTTATCACATATACATCAACAAGGTATTATACATCGTGACCTCAAGCCGGTAAATATATTTTTGGACTCGCGTGATCAGATAAAAATTGGTGATTTCGGTCTAGCGACAACTAGTTTCCTAGCACTGCAAAGTCAACGTAAGTAGATGGATTTGAAATAAAAAAATTATAATTTATGTACAATAATATAAATGCCTTATAAAATTTTCTATCCTTTAGAGGATCAAACTGCTCAACACTCGACACAAGTTGCTTCCATAGAGGATGGCACCGGCACAGGCAAGGTTGGCACAACACTTTATGTGGCTCCCGAATTGACCGGCAATGCCTCGAAATCAACATATAGTATAAAAGTAGATATGTACACCTTGGGCGTAATACTATTCGAAATGGCTCACCAACCATTTACAACTGGTATGGAACGTGTACAAACCATCATGGACTTACGCACTCCCGCTATTGTTATACCCGTTTATATGTTGAATAATAGTAAATACGATAAAACGGTCCAGGTGAGTTGATTAGTATCGAGAAATGGAATTTTTTAACACAATCTGTACACATTTAAATTTCTTCAGATCCTCCGCTGGTTACTAAACCATGATCCAGCAAAACGACCCACCGCAGAAGAGTTGTTAGCTTCCGACTTAGTGCCGCCCCCGCCAGTAGAAGCCAACATATTGCAAGAAATGATACGCACAGCGCTCAAAGAGCCACAAAGTAAAGCTTATAAGCATTTAGTTGCACGTTGCCTGCAGCAGGAGAATAATGAAGTGACCGAATATACCTATAATTATGGCATCAGCACTCATACACTGGATAGCACAAAATCGCTGAAACCCATTTTCGAATTTGTCAAAGCCAAAATTGTCTCTCTATTCCGTAAACATGGCGGCATCGAAGTGAATACACCCTTACTGTCACCGCTAACGAAACGTAGCAATCCGTGGAATCACCCGGTGCGTCTAATGACACGTTCCGGCTGTGTAGTGCTGTTGCCTAGCGATTTGCGAACAGAATTTGCACGTTACATTGCAATGAGCGGTATGCATATGATGCGTCGTTATTGCATTGATCGTGTGTACCGCGAAGAGAAGGTATTCAACTGTCATCCAAAACAAAGTTATGAATGTGCCTTCGATGTGATAACATCTGGTCCGGATAGTCCGCTCATTGATGCCGAACTTTTGGCGCTTGCTTCCGAAATCTCTAATGAAATACCGCGTCTGCGTGAGAAAAATATGCGCATACGCATGACACATACATACCTACTGCGCGCCATACTAACGCACTGCAATGTGCCGACAACTTCGTATAAAGAATTGTTTGCGAACGTAGCGGATTTCGTTGAGGGACGTATAACCAAGTTCCAGTTGCATTCTAGCGTGACAACGATTATGGAGAAATCGCGTTCCTCGGCTTCGGCATTAATCGACCTTTTACAGGTGAATTTCCTATTGAGCTGCACGAGGAGTAACGTCGACGAATCACCGCTGAAGACGCTGTTGCGTGGCAAAGGTGAAGCCGCTTTGCTGGCAAGGAATGCACTCAAGCAATTGGAGTCTGTTATGGAGCTAGCACAGGGTCTTGGGTTGACGGTAGGTTTACTTGTAGTATTTACAAAATATTTTATTTTCCATCTTTTGCTTTTTTTTTTTTTTTTTGTAGTGTCCAATATACATTTTCACCGGTCTGCCCATCAGTTTCGAACGCATCAATAACATAGGTGTTGTATGGCAATTAATAGCAGATATAAAGCCCAATCGTCTTGCGCGACCCTCCGTACTCGCCACGGGCGAACGCTACGACACTCTGCTCAACGATTTCCAAGAGCAAGCACAACGTTTAAATAAGAACGTACCCGTACGCGGGGTCCGTGCGGCTGGCTTATCAATTTGGCTGGATAAATTGGTGGCTGCAATCGATCCGAATGACATAAAGGAATGTCGCGCCGTCGACGTGGGCATTTGCGTGCACGGCACGCACGCGCCGCACAAACAAATTGCCGATATAATGCGCCTGCTGTGGTCGTCGAATATACGTTGCTGTGTGGCGGAGTCAGCCTTCGGTACGGGTGACGAGGCACAGGACTTGGTTAAGTTGGGCGCATTGCATATTATTTTGGTGGCGGAGAATGGTGGAATGCGTATACTTTCTTGGGAGCGCGATCGCTTCAATGAGCGCCATGTAACGCGCACAGAGCTGAAAGAGTTCGTGAACAAACTTCGGTCCGAGCTCGGAGGTGCAAATGTCAATGAGTATGCCAATCAGTTGGCGATTGCTAGCCCTGGTGGTAGTAGCAGCGGTAACAGTGGTGGCAACTCTGGGCGCGGTGATGGTGGCTTATGTAGCTCGGCTTCAAGCAGCAGCATTAAGAATGGTTATTCAAGCCGGTTGCCAAATGTGGAGGTGATCTTTATGTTGCATGAAAAGTTGACACACAATATGAAACGGCGCTATGAGAATCAGGTAACGGCGGCGAGAGTGTTAGCTTAAGACATACTTATGCGACTTCCATTCCTTTATTTGCTTGTAGGTTTCGCAGCAGATGTCTTCAACTCTTTCGCAGTTTACGAAAAAAGAAAGTGTAGTTGTTTTGGTCGTTGACTTGCCGACCACTCTCGTGAATGCTATTGTGGGTGCAGTATATCCGCGTGACATAGATAAAAGGGAGAGTCAAATTGAGTTCTACCAATTGGGAGAGCGGTGAGTTTTAATAGAGATTTTTGTATATTTATGTACAGGTGTACAATAAATCAATTTTGTATTTCACACAGGTACCCTAAATACAAACGCTATATTTTTGAAATTAAAAATGAAATTAGAGATTATATAATCGGCGATAAAACAATTATCGTTGCCTTGTTTACCATTAGTGATTCGTATTATCGCGTCATACTTTGATTTTCATTTACACCAATTTAAAAGCAAAAATTCAGCATTTAATAAAATATTTAACACATTTTGTTCCATTCAACTTAAGTATAAGTGTGAGTGATTTTAGTCAAATGTATCTAAAATAGTCTTACTTTTTTGTATTCATTTATTTATCTATTTTATTATGTTCATAAATTATGTTTTCGATTTTACCTAAGTTTGCTCATCTGTGTCATTTGCATGTATTTATATGTAGTTGTAATGTAGTTTGTAATAATAAAAGTTTTAACGTGGATTTTTTAAACACACATATTAACGGTGTTTTCATTAATTGGCAGCATTTAACACAACTAACGGTATAGGTATGGTACCTATAGCTGAACAGGCTTTCTTTCTTCACTACGCCGCCTCCTCAGTAGCTTTATTGTGACTGCGCGGTATACTTGAGGCAGCGCCCTGCAGTACTTTGCGTGATAAACGCATGAAGCCGGAGACAGGATCGCGCCCGAAATATTTCACCTGTATTTCCTGTCCCACCTCCAAGCCCAAGGCGGACGGATGCGCAATCTGCAAGTAAAACATACATAAATATACGTATATATAGGGAATGTACTGTTTGTATTGCTTTGCCACACCTTTCGTTGGTCTAACTGTGAGTTGTGCAGCAGTGCAGGCGGCATGCTGGGATATAGTATCACCATCACACCCGTATCGCGTATTTCTGTGATTTTCGCACTATAGATACCACCAAATTCCAAGTCAGGTATTCGCTCCTTCGTCAGCAAGGCGTCTATATGCTCCTTCGCCTCGTCCATAGCTGCTTGTGAAGGCGCAAATATGCTGTATGTGGTTTCATCTTCGGCTGTGAGTGAAGCGCCCGTTTCGAGGTAGATACGTTTCAAATGCATACCACCGGGTCCGATGAGTTGACCGCGCTGTTGAGGTTCAATGGTTATGCGCTCAGTGACGGGCCAGCAGTCTTTTGGATATTTGCTGAAATAATTCTTTAAGATTACCTCAAGAACTTGCAAGTTAATTAATAACTCACCGATGCTCTCTAATCACTTCACCCATAATATCAAGTATTCTTCCCTTTGCGTCGGTCGCCTTTTGGAGAGATTCCATTACGACTTTTAACGGTATGCCAGGCACCTTCAAATCAGCTTGGATAGTTGTGAACCCCTTACGCGTGCCTGCCACTTTCATATCCATATCACCCATGTAGTCTTCAATGCCCAATATATCGGTGAGTATGCGGTAATCGGTGAGGTGTTTTGTGTCGTTATTTTCATATTTAGTAACCAAACCAATAGCGACGCCGGCCGCTGGTGCTGTTACTGGCACGCCTGCATCCATCAGCGCCATAGAGCCGCCACAAACCGATGCCATGGAACTAGAGCCGTTTGATTCCAATACCTCGGATGTGAGACGCACCGTAAAGGGGTAATCGTGCGGTAGAGTTGGTACCAACGCCCGTTCCGCTAATGAACCGTGACCCAGCTCTCGTCGTCCGATAGGTCCTATTCGTCCCACCTCACCGGTGGCGTAAGGTGGGAATTCGTAATGCAACATGAAATTTTTGGCCTTCAGTCCACTATAGATTTAAATAATGAGTGAAAATAGCATTACAGTTTAGTACACGTAACATAATTCGAAAGCAATACCTTTCCAGCGCTGTGATCGCGTCCAGTTTCATGGCACTTTCATGCGAATCAAGAGAAACTGTGCAAAATACTTGTGTTTGCCCGCGCTGGAATAAAGCTGAGCCGTGTAGCGGCTTATAAAGGTCAACCTGCAAAATTGGTGAGATAAACTAAGTTTCGTTTTTAGCATTTTTAACTTCCCCTCTTACCTGACAACTAATATTTCTTAAACTATCGTAGTCTCGTCCATCACAACGTCTGTTTCCTTCAAATAACAGACTTCTGAATATACTCTTACATATTTTATTGAATTCTTCTGCTATTAATGATGGCTCAGTATCTGGATATGAGGACCACACTTTGTCAATAACATTTGTACGCACTTCGTTCACAGCATTATCACGAGTTATTTTGTCGTGTGTAGCGTCTTGAAAGATTTCACGCAAACGCATCTCACACATACTCTTTACAGCATCAGAGATTTCTGTTTCCGTGGAAGGCGGCGCTTCAACGGTGCGCTTCTTCCGTCCATACATTTTTTGTAAACGTTCAATTTCATTTATTATAAACTGTGCTTCTCGTGTACCTTGCTTAACAGCCTTGAGCAAGTCTTGCAAAAGCACCACATTACCTTTTCCTTCTAACATGACAACTAGATTGTGTTTCGTTGCCGACACCACTAAATCTAGCTGAGATGTTTGCAACTCACGTCGTGTGGGATTGACCACTACTTCACCATCACAGAGACCAACGCTAAAATATAGTTATATAAGTGTTATATACAATTCATTGCTAATGCAAATTACTTACCGCACCGCACCAATCGGACCATTCCAAGGTATGTCGCTTAAGCTTAAAGCCATTGACGCCGAATTTATAGCCAATATATCGGGAGAATAAACTGAATCCATAGATAAAATATTGCACACAAGTTGCGTTTCTGTACGAAAATCTGCAGGAAAGAGTGGCCGCACAGAACGATCTATGAGGCGAGCGGAAAGTATTTCTTTTTCGGATGGGCCCAATTCTCGACGCATGAAATTCATAGGTATGCGTCCAGAAGCTGCGCTCTTTAAGCGGTAATCAACAACGAGTGGCATAAAGCTAGCACCAGGTGCCTGCTTAGGTTTCGCCACTGCGGTAACCATTACAGCGGTGTCACCCATTTGACTGACAGCTGTGCCATTGGCAAATCGTGCCAGTTTACCAGAACTCAAAGTAATGTGGCGCCTGTAAGAAAACCAGATTATAAATGAATTCGTGCATTCAACGTGTTCATTGCAAATTTAAGAACAACCGTACCCATTGGAGAAATTCACTTCCACTGCCGGACAGTCGCTTGGAGCACTTTGTATGTACCGCCGATATCGTGATGCTCCATAAAGCAGCTGTAACTTTGCCAGTTTCAGACATCTTGGTGGAAATACCAACATCTTAGTTGAAAACCGCGGCGCGAAGGAACTTGAGTGCATATAAGCGTTGACAATTAAAAACAGCTGATTGCTGATAACAGTGCTTGGGGATTGTTTATATGAGCAGGGTTCAATACATGTGATACTGATTATATCTACATTATATCTGCAAAGACCTTTCAAACATAAATAATTCAAGTTTGAAAAAAATTATACTTGGAATTTCAGTTTAAGAAAATAAAAACTTTACTCTACTAAACGCCAATAGAAATTTTGAGTCAGTTTTCAGAAATCAAGCAACTTACCACCACTGTTTTCAGATGAATTGGGTTCGCGCCTTGGCTAAACGTGCTATGTATTGCTAAATAAAATTCCAATTACTTAGTGGACAATTTTCAGGCAATTAAATTTGGATTTGTTTACAACAATTCTAAATAAGTAAAGTGGAAAAATAATTAGACACCAATTATGTTAAGACAAAATTGTGGTTGTATATATTCAAAAGCAAAAAAAAACGCTCATCTCTAAATTATCTGGGTTATCTGTAATCGCCCAAATAACCGAAGCCGCTTTAAAAGGGAGATGACAAAATTTTGACATTTCACAGGTTTTCACAATTTTCATTGGCCAGTTTGCAGTTTTCGGTTATTCCATTATTCTTTATCGAGAAGCAGAAGTGATAGTGTCGTTTTCGGGTCTCGTGAAAATTCGTTCTGAAAATTTTCTTGATAATTGTGGTAAAAGTGTAAATTATTCGATTAATCAAAGAATTTTCCTCCTTTCAAATTCACACCCCATACGCAAATGTTCTGAAAATCGTCGCGCGAAGGAGAAATTTCGAAATAGGTGTGTTTATGTGCGTATGTACGTGTATTGGCGGAATTAAGAAAAAACACTTATGTATGTACATACATAAGAAGAATAAGCTAAAAAATTTTGATAAAAGAAAATTGTAAAGAAAAAGCCTAGTGTAGTATAAAACGCCGACGTTGAAAACCGAAGAATAGTGCATGGAAGAATATATATAATACAAGCAGAGAAAAGTTCGGTTCATTCCGTGTGTTGGCCAAAAGTAAAATTGTGACAACAACAAAAACAACAAGAAATTCAACAGCGGCGACTGCAGCGTTGTTAGTAGAAACAAAGTCAGTAGCAGCGGCTTCAACGACAGCGTCAAGCCCAAAAAGACAGTAGCAAATTGTATGCCGCATAGATGATTTTTATTGAGGCCAACACACTACATACTTGTATGAAATCGAATTACTAAAATCAAAATTTCAAATCAATGAAATGTGAATTGAAAGCAAATAACAAATAAAAGTACATATGTACAAAAATGCATACATGAACACTTATTAATATGAAGTTGATGTGAATCATAAATGAAATTCATTGATTAAATAAATTGAATTGGATCGACACATTTTTTCTAAATAAAAAGCTTATCACTTATAGAATTCGCAAACATTTTTTAAACCATATTGCCATTACTAAATACGTGCAAACAAATATTATTCGCAAAAAAAAAGAGAAAGAAAATTAAATCACGAAAAGTTTCAAACCATAAATAATAATAAAATACGAGTCGAAACATATCTACATATGTTTGTATGTTAAAATTTTTGGTAGGATTTATTAATTAGCTCCGCATGTTTTTCTTGTTTACATTTGTATTTAGATAAAAAAGGCTTAGATTATTAAAATCCATAGTTTAGTCCAAAGGCCTTCGGTCTATCGATAACAATCAATGCCACATTTATACAGGTATCTTATAGTCCTTGAATATCAAGAAAAAAATGTCTATTGTTTGCTAGATATAAAACTAAACGCTCTTTGAGCCTGAAACAGTGAGCAAAGTACTAATACTAAACATTTTGTAGAAATTTTCCTAATTTTCTCTCTGTGCAACAGATCCATTGGTGTCTACAAACAGTTTTTGACCGATAATTGTGAATGCTCAGTATACGACGACATGTTCAATATTAAAAATATAAATGCATAAAAAATCATAATAATGAGCTATTAATTAAAGTAAATGACAAATGGCATTATTTGTACAATTAATAAATAAATGTATGCAAGTATCTGTCTTTACTTTTGAATGAAATAAAAAAAAAGAAAAAAACTGATGTGTTGTTTTCCTGCTTTTAGTGATTTTTAAGCTGCAATAAAAAACAATACAACAAATAAAAAAAGAGCGCCAGACATACTCGTACTTTGCTAAGGTGAGCACATAAAAAGTTTTATGATGTTATTTTTTATGGCTACTTATAATATTTACTTGTCTTGTTCTACCTTGCATTCCACTTTAAAAGTCTCTCATATGGATGCACATACACGTATATGTGTATGGACCTATGTACATATATATGCTATGCCTATTCCAGTATCGTGGGAGGTCGGGAAAGCGCTACACCAATATCTTCCAATTATAATTCGCTTTAAATATTCTATTTTTAGATTTTGTTTATTTTCTAATCGTAGCTTGTTAAACAATATAATTTGTATGATAAGATCAAAAAATGAGATAATGTTCTAGCGGGCAGTTAACTAACTTAGTCTCTGTACATTTGGCTTGTATACTTCAGAAATAAGATGTCATCCAATTTTCTTTTAATTATTTAAATGCAGAATGAATAAAACTTACATAGACCGTGGAACTTTAAAAAATTTATTAAATTTTTATGTCAGGAATATTTTCCCAAGTTTCAAGTCGATCGGGACGAAACTGTAGAAATTAGAGAGTTTTATAACCCGCCGTCTTTGTCATGGCTTTACCGATGGCGAAATTTCAAAATTTCTCAACGAGTATTGAAGTGATCGAGTTCACTTCTTTAAACCATTTTTTGTAGTTCCTGAACGAAGGATTTATTTTATCTTTGATTTCAACACATTTTACAAGCCAATATGTGGAATATTTTTATGAAAAAAAAATTTTAATTTTTTTTTAGTTTTGCCTCGTTCAGAGACAAGGAAAACTCACCTTGTTTAAGAAAAAAATTTGGATTTTTGATTTCAGATAAAAATTGAAAAAAATATCATGATTACCGCGAAAGCGCTTTCTTGTGGACGGTCTACTTCACGACACTACCAACGCCTTAACTTATACTATTTTTCATTCAAATTTTCATCAAATATTGTCCACATATTTTACTTTTATATGTAAACAAAATAATTTGTATTCTTTATTTAGTATCTTTTAAAAAAATTTAGCGAAAATAAGCTTTTTCTTGGCCTTCAAGATCTATATAACCCCTTAAACTGTTTTAATTTTTGTTTGTGATGTTTCTTAAATTTAAAAATTAACTAAACATTACACTGAAATGGTTGTTGTAGATGCAAAAATATTCCCCAAAGTAGTTTTGTGACAGTCCTTGGCCAGATAAAATACGGGTCCTTCCGGTATAAACGTCTGAATGTCGTGGGAACTTTTGGATTTTAGTCTAACACGCAGAGATATCCCTTGAGAATTCCTTTGGCTTAGTTGGGAAACCCCTGCGGGATAGGGTTTCTAAAAGTTACCCACGGTACGGCATGCCTGGCGTAAGAGGCGGCTAAAATCCAATAGTTTAGGATTTACATCCGGCCAAGCACTGTCACTCCCGCAACATTCTGCAAAAACTATTTGGGTTGGGGTTGCTAGTTTTCAGCATATTTTTAGGATAATTTGCCATAAATTTGCAACAATCGTTCAACAACGTTCCAAAAGAGCCGGATTTTAGGCACTTCTTACGATAGGCATACCATACTCTTTGAACCCCTATCCTGCAGGGGACCGTGCACACGCGGCTTCTTATTGTTTCCATATGCATACCTTTGTATGCACACATGTATGTATTTGCGTATTTATCAATCACAATCACACAATGGCCAACAACCAATTACCAATTACCACTTACACACACTTGCTTTCCCTTTTATGACTGGTTTTTTTTTTTTAATTTTATTGTTGGCTTATTATGTGATGACGCTGATGTTATTAGATGTGGCGTGTGTTGTTGCTGTTTTATTAGATTATTTTTTTATGGCATTCTGAACACATTTATGTTGTCAGTAACAGGGCTGTTTCGCATATGAGAAAAAAGTCAAGTTCTTATACAGCTGTGTAGATATGTGTGCACCTCTGTGTGTTATCAATGACCACAAACCAGGAGTATGTATGTACATATACGTGTATGCTTGCATACGCCCGTCAATATCTATGTAGATGTGCACGCAACGTGTTCACATTCATTAATATGCACACTTCTCCTCCAACTCCTTCTCCTCCACTCATCTTGTTATCCACTTCAAGTCCATCTGCCTAATTAAAGCGTCGACATTTCTTACGTCGCTTTGACAATGACATTTCACATTCCACTCAGCTTATCAGTTGCACAGCACTGTAGGGATTAGTTGGGAATTGCCCGATGTCGGCCATTCAATAGTTCTGCAAACAAAGTGCTTACGATTGCATTTCGCCTAATCACGAGCCCTTTGCTAATGGTTGGGGAATTAGTTGTTAGTGGTGGAACATAAAAAGAAATGTGCCAAATTTATTATATTTTCATAAACAATAGAATTTTATTTTTATATTTATAACTTTAATTCTAGTTCTATTATTGTTTTCAGTGAAATCAATGACAAATTTTTCAAAGTAATATTTTCTCTGTTGAAAGTATTTTTTTCCAATTAGGAAAATTTAACGTAATAATTTTTTGAAATACAAAAAAATATTTTAATTGAATTTTTTTTAATTTTTAAATATAATTTTTTACAATTTTTTTTGTATAAAAAATATGCCATCCAAAGGGGGAGTAAAAAAAAGAGTATGGATTAAGGAAAAATAAATATAATAATAATAAAAAAAATTAAAATAAAATTGAAAAGAAAGAAAAAAATTAAAACTAAGATTAAAAATTTTAAATAAATTAATAATAACAAAATTTAAAAAAGTTAAAAAATTTAGAATAAATTAAATTAATCTAAAATAAATTAATAATATCTAAATTTAAATTTAATTAAGTTAAAAAATTGAAAATAAAATAAAAAATTGAAAGAAAATTATAAAATTTAAAATAAATTAATAATAACTAAAATTAAAATAAGTTAAATAATTTAAAAAAAATAAAAAAAAAATAAAAAATTAAAAAAAAATAAAAAAAATAAAATATTTAAAATAAATAAAAAAATAACTGATGATTTAAATAAATTAAGAAATTTAAAAGGAATTAATAATAGCTAAAATTAAAACAAATTAAAAATTTAAATAAAAATTAAAAAATTTAATATAAAATAAATATTTAAAATAAATAAAATACTTTGAAAATTTTAAAAAATAAAAAGCAAGAAAATAAAAAAAATTAAAAATGAAAAAAAAAATATCAAAACTAATAAAAAATTATTGAAAAAATTAAAAATTTAGAAAAAAAGAAAAAGAAAAAAATTAAAAGAATAAAAAAAAATAGAAAAAATATAAAAATAATTTGAAAATTTAAATCAAATTAAATAATTTAAAGATTAAATTAAATATTAAAAAAATATAAAAGTATTAAAAAAATAAAATTATTAAAAAATAAAAATATTAAAAATTGAATAATAATAAAAATATTAAATAAAAATATTAACAAAGTTCAAATAGTACATTAAAAAAAAATAAAAAATCAATTCAAAATATATCTATTTGTATGCACATATATATGTACAAACAAAAAAATATATATATAAGAGTAATATAAAATATAATTATAAATTATCTTAAGAGAAATTTTCGACAAAAAAAAAAGTTGGAAATCATCTACTAAACCGTTACTTGATTGTTATCTGAGCTTTTAAACTCTAATCTTAAGAGAAATTTTCGACAAAAAAAAAAGTTGGAAATCATCTACTAAACCGTTACTTGATTGTTATCTGAGCTTTTAAACTCAAAATAATAATATCAGACTGTACACACTGGTACTCAATTTACCAATTGACACAAAAATAAGTGCAGTATTCTGAATACAAATAAAAAATGTCCGCAAAATGGTATTTTTTTTTTAGCGGAGAAAGATTGCGACAAAAAATTCATTCTTTCTGGCGAGGCCAATGATAACCCCAGACCACATTAAATATTAAGAAGCTATATATAGTTCAATAAAAGTTGATGTATAGCTACAGTTATGCTTGGAGTAATTTTTTTCTATCATTTCCAATACTTTTTCAAACGCCCATCTCTTTAAATTGCTTAAAAATGCAATCATTTACTCTACACACCGTCTTCTTCTTCTTCCCTCATGATTACAGACACTTAAGTGACACTTGGGCAATCATTGTCGCTACTACTGCTGCTTTTGCTGCTGCTGTTTATCTAAGTCGCCAAGGAGATAAGCAAGAGATGTCTCCTTCGCCATGTCAAGACCGCACGTTTGCTGCCATCATCGATTGTTGCTGATAAAGGAAATTCAAGTGACACAAATTGTATACAAAACAGCAACGATAAAAAAAAGCAACAACAGCAGCAGCAACAACTGTCATGGCCAAAACACCACCAGTGCAGCTGGCATCAGCAGCGAGGTTAGCCGATAAGACGAAGTGTCATTGCAGCACAGCAGTCGAGCGACCGAACAAGTGTTGTTGCAGATGAAAATCCACTTGACATTTAACAACATCCTGTCACTCTGCATTTTGATGCAACTCATGCCCAACCCTCTCAATCTCACACCTTGTTTATCAGCACTCACTACTCCTTGCACAGCTGCAGTTTCAATCAGCACAGTGTGTGACCCGCCACTTGAGCGGCTCCACTCCACTCAAGCAAACTGGTTCAATTTTATTATTTTAATTATTTATGGTCTTACTCGTACATCTGTGTTTGTATGTTTGTATGTGTCAATGAGTTCGCCAACAAGCTGCCTACTTACTGCATGCTATTGGAAATTTTTTAATTTACATATTTAAGTGATTTTATTATTTAAGGCTCTCCCTGGGTGCCAACTTGGCGAAAGAAGCGTTTCCTACTTTACCGATAGTTTTCGGTGAATTTTTGTGTTGTAGAAAAAAGTGGGCGTGTGCTTCTCATAACACTTCAAAATATGTATTGAGAAAATCTTGAGTTTATCTGAATATTTTTATGTTTTCTCTAGCACCATCGTTTGCCATCTTATCATTAGGAAGCAATTATTTACACTATAAAAATGTGACATTTCCTGATATATTCTGTGGTCTTTATGTAATGAGTATTTTTTTCCTTGACGAGCTCTGAAGTTTTCAATTTCATGAATCTAAATAAATAAATAAAACCAATAAAAATATATATATTAAAAAAAAAATTAAGTTAATTAAAATAAAAAACATAATTTAAAATAAAATAATTTAAATAGAAGAAATTAAAATAAAATAAAGTAAAATAAAATAAAGCAAAATAAAATAAATAAAAATCAAAATCAATTTAAATAAACAAAACGAATTAAAATAATATATTAAATTACAATAAAATAAAAAAGAAAAAATAAAATAAAAACAATTGAAATAAATAAAACAAGTAAAAATTGAAATTAAATAAATTAAAAAAAAAAAATAAAAAAAGTAGTTAAAATAAAATAAAGTAATTTAAAATAAAACAAAGTAAATTAAAATAAAATAAAGTAATTTAAAATAAAATAAAGTAAATTAAAATAAAATAATTTAAATAGAAGAAATTATATTAAAATAAATTAAAATAAAATAAAGCAAAATCAAATAAATTAAAATAAAATAAAAAAGAATAAAATCAAATAAAAACAATTGAAATATATAAAACAAAAAAAAATTAAAGTAAAATAAACTAATAATTAAAAAAAAATAATAAGTAAAAAAAATAAATTTAAAAAAATACTTAAAATAAAATAAAATAAATTAAAATAAAATAAATTAAAAAAATATAAAATAATTTAAAAAAATTAAAATCAAAAAAAATAAATTAAAATCTAAATCAATTTAAATAAATTAAACGAAATAAAATAATGAAATAAATCAAAATAAAAAAAGAATAAAATAAAATCAAAACATTTGAAATAAATGAAACAAAAATAAAAAAATAAACTAAAAAATAAGAAAACAAAATAAAATAATTAAAATAGTATAAAATCAAATAAATTAGAATGAATATGAATAAAGAAAAATAAAGTAAGGTATAAAAAAGCAAATTATAATCAAATTAAATTTAATTTAATAAAAAATAAATTTAAAAAAATCAAAAAAGTTGAATTAATATTAAACAAATTAAGTTTAATTATGGTAAATTATATAAAAAATATTAAATAAAATTTTGTATAAAATTAAATAAAACAAAATCAATTCATTTTTTTTTTGCGGGTGACGAGAAGTAAATGTCTTCCGCAACATTATTGGGCCGTCACATGCAGGTCTCTGAAAAAAACTCTCCTCCGAGGAACCGTCGCCTGGAACCGCTTTCGCATTGCTTCAAGGTGACGTTCCATATTTTTCGTTTTGAAATTTACATTTCAGCCCTGCGTCCAGGTCCCGCTTTTTCTTGTGTTGCGCATACTCTACGTAGTAACCTGAAGCATTACTGGAACAATGTTGTCCGCATACAGAGGCTCTAGAATTGCCGCTCGTTCCGTTTGCCATCGTGTGCACTTAGAAAATGTGTGCGTCAATGTCCATTTTATGTTTCTTCAGCAAATAGGTGGAACCTGCAGCTTATTCTAAGCCGCTGTCGTAAGACTGATAGATTTTTATGAGGAGCTTTTTACTTTTTTTGAACATTAGTCTGGCAAGGGTCTGAATCTATGACCCTTCGCAGTGCTATGGTGCCTATGCAGTTATACCTTGGTTAATTATTATTTTTTCTATAATTTCCATTGACGTTGACGCCCATTCTTCAGAGATATGGCTCTCTAGAAATCTCTATTACAGGCCTCGGCTATTTCTGTATGTTTACATCCTGCCCTAATCAAAAGTAGGTACATTTGAATAGCTGTAATTGTGAAAGAACTATACATAATTTTTCCGCAATAGAAGCCAAAGGACATTACTTAGTACGAATAAATATAGCTTGTATACATACATTTATATATATATGTATGTAAAATATGTACAATACATATCTATACGTGGATAAGTCAATATTTATTTGCCATGCCATTTACATTTCTATTTTCGTGCCACATTTAACTTACAAACATACATATATAGACATTTGTAAACATTAGAATTTTTCCTTCTTCCAACTCCGGCCACACCCACGAATACAAATGCTAAATACAATATGTATGTATGTATGGATGGATATACTTCAGGGTCTGAGTCGTGGACGACAAACCTAAGCAACGCCATCCGCACTTAGCTCGTTAATGCTTACCACTTGTGTTGCATGTCCTGCTGTTGGCTTGTGTATTTCATATTTCGTCATCAGCATTGCCGCGTACGCGTTGGTGCGTTCAACCGTTAGTGACATCGCTATTTTACAACTTGTCGTGAGTTTGACAGTTTCGGCTTCTTGTGTCGTTCTTCTTGTTCTTCTTGTTATTCGATAGTAACTATTTTACTGTTGCTATTGATAGCTTCTTTGAGGTTTATAGTAAATTCTCACTTTTACTTTGATCCTTTCACGTTGGATGGATGAGTACACATTTCTTCATTTTAGTCGAGGCCTATTCATATCACAGGTATTGTTAATGGTCATTGTGATGTGTGTGTTGTTGTGTGGGAGTGTTGGAGCTTACTTCTATTTGCTATTTTGTTAATAAGTACTTATTTTTGTACAGACTTGTATGTATGCGTGTACTGTTATATTAAAAGATGGAATTATGAAAATCTTTCATATTTGTAAGTAAATTTTTACAAAATTTAAGAATGAAATAAACAAGTTTGGAATGAGAACCCCGGACATAAATATTTAAATTGATTTTTAAATTTTTTCTTCGTAAATATCCCAACGTTGTTGTAAATCCACTTAGAGATAGTAGTAATTAGCTTGATGTAGTAGCGGTTTTCCAACCCCGCTTAGGAATAGACTAGATCAGTGTAAGTGGTGGTTGGTGCGGTTCAGGAAACAAGCTGTTTCGTCAGGTTTGGACCAGAGAGAAAGTGAGCTTAGATGTGTTCATTTTAGGGAACATGCAAAGAGGTGGTTAGTATCGTGTGGGTACTACTTGCATGCAGAACCTACATTAGTTATGTCGGCTTCGATTCACGACTGCCGGTTCTACACACCAGAGTTGACCCGGGTTTTATCTGGTCAAGCGCTGTCACCCTTAACTTTCGAAATACGAATTTTGTAAGCACATAGACTGTGGAGCCATCTGTCAGCGGTTTTAACAAATATTTTCACTTAGCTCTTTAGTTTTCTCGTAATTTTCAGAACTAATTTACAGAAAGGCGGTTGAACACAAAATTAAAATATTTTTGGTTCGTCTTCTGTAATTGTCCTCACTACAGTTTATTCTTTTTGTACTGTTTTTCTATTAAATTTTTAGTTTATATGTATATTCCTTAAATAATATCATTCATTTCATTCACCTTATCTCTTATTCTCTTCCTTTTCAGTGCGCCAGCTACTTTTTGTTACATTCATGAGCAGAATCATCATTGTTAAAAAAGTTTATTCGTGCATAAATCCTCGAAAATCTACTTAAGTCCTTAAGTAGTAGTCAAAAGTTTACTACAACAATCAAGTTCTACTCATACTTTTGCAAAAATCAGCAAATAATACAAAAAATTACAAAAAGGAAAAAAAATACCAACCAATTTGGTAGTTGTTAAGCTGTTCGAAAGTGAAATATAAAATATAAAGTAAAAAGTAAAAAAAAAAACAACTACAATTTCATATCAACAATAATTGAGTGTAAAAGTTTCGAGTTTGGCATTCTGTGCATTGTTGTTTGCCTTAATTGTTGTTGTCAACTGTATATTGTGCAGCGGCTATCAAGCCTAATTGGGGATCCCTAAATTAAAGGTAAAGTAATTTTCCTCTTAAATTTTACACATATAAATACATACATAGATTTTTTCGCATATTCGGAGTATTGCGTAGATTCAAGGGTTTCTGTGCCAAAATGTTTACAGCAACTAAAAAATATTTATGAAAAGATTTTTACGTATTTTATTAAATTTTTCTATCTACCTAACCTTCGGTAAATATTGGTCTAGGAAAAAGTTATCCATTATATTTACATTGAATTGAAGTTTATTTCACCATGCTTAGGATTATATGATTTGTGTCAAATATACAGCGCTTTGTTCGATTACCTTTTGCCTTGAATGAGGCACTTCATAGAAATTCCCCTACCTATTGACGGGCAATTGGGAAAATTGTTTTTCACAGGCTTCCGTTAAGGCCAATTCTTTACCAGTTAAATCATTCGCCGTAGACGGGAACAGCTGATAATCACTTGGTGCGAGGTCCGCACAAGAACCACCCAACCTAGCTCACGGCGATTCTGTCGAGTCACTATCGATGTGTGTGTGTGATCTGGCGTTGTCCTGATGGAACACAATTCCCCAGCTGTTGACCACAGCTTGGCGATTGCTTCTTCCAGACGCTCCAATTGCTTACAGTACATGTCCGCATTAAGAGTTTTGCCGTAGAGCAGCAGCTCATAGTGTATGATTTTTTTGTCAATCCCATCAAACACACAACAAAACCTTCCTGGTCACCAATTTAGGTTTGGAGACTGCACTTCGGCCACGACCGTTTTCATTTCGCTCTGTCGTAAATGAACTCTTTTTCATCACCAGCCACCATCGGCTTCAGTAAGGGCTCGACTTTGTTATGATTCAACAGCGATTCGCTGAAGGAAGCTCGGTCCTTGTTGTTTTTTTTTTTTTTGGTTACCTCACGTCCCAACCTATGCATCTTTTTTTTATAATCGCTGCAGCAATTTTCGGCCGTGCTATATCTTCCATAGAGGTGTTTTTTTTTTTAAAGGGAGGTTGCCTCGAAGTTGCCTCCGAATGAGTGATTAATTTTTACGAGAAGCTTTTTATTTCATATCAAAAACAAACCCTCACAGGGCATTTCCAGCAGAGGGCCGGTTGAAATTTAAAAAAAGATAATTTTGGACGTTGGTCTGGCCAGATTTCAAACCTATGACCCTAAGCACGGTAGTACACACTGCTAATGCGGGCGCCAAATTTAATAATTAATTAATTTAAATTTTTCCACTTTATTTTTATTTTATTTTGATTTACTTTGATATAGTTTGTTTTGATTTATTTTATTTATTGTTTCATTTTATTTTTTCTTTTCTAATTTTTATATATTTTTTATTTCTTTTCTTTCATTTGTTTTTTCTTTTCTTATATTTTTTCAGATTTTTTAATTTATTTTTGTTATAATTATTTTATTTAATTTAACTTATTTTCTTTATTTATCTACTTTATTTTATTTAATTAAATTTTTTCATTGTTTTTATTTTAACTTATCGATTTCATTTTGTTTTATTATATTTAATTTTTGTACGCTCTCTTTTTATAGCTATTATTTTATTTTTTTTTTAATTTATATCCTTTTTATTTTAGTTTTATTTTTTTTTTAAATTTTTTTTTTTTGTTAATTTCCTACAAACAATTTTTTTATTTTATTTAAAAGCATTATTTGCATCTATTTCTTTTTATATATTTTTTATATATTTTATTTTAATGTTTATTTATTTAAAATTTATATTTACTTAATTTTGTATTATTAATTTTTTTAATTTATATTATTATATTTATTTTTTAATTATTAATTTTTTTAATTCATATAATTATTTTTGGTTCTTATTATTCATTTATTTTTTTTTAAGCTCATGGAAAATATCAATTATTTATATATTATATTGGAATTTTATTTAAATAATAAAGTCTAAACAATTTCAAGTAGTCGCATACCAATTTCTTTGTAACCAGTCATGTTCTGCTTCTGATTTAATGAAAATGATTAATTGTAAAAATTATAACTAAATAATTCTTTAGTTTTTCCACGCAATTAATTATCAAATTAACCAATAGAAAAATCAAGCCATTAATCCCATATAAAAAATTATACCATTCTCATAGATATTTCCTCCTCTGCACTGTCTGGGGATGCCGATACCAAATGCGCGCATTTATTAGTAAGTAAGCAGATTTGCTGTGCGTTCATAGCCTTGAAAGATGAAGCTTTTTTCCTGGAACTCTATGCGCCAATAAGCAGCGAAAAGCAGCCGTCCGCACCTACATATAATTACAAACAGACATGCATACGTACCAAACATTTCATAGCACCAATCGAGACTAAAAAGAAAAACACACGAACATGCGCATAACTCTATGTGCGTTCTTACTGAGTCGCGTCGCATCGCGTTGAAGTTATTCTAAATGATGAAGGCACCTCTTATGCAAACCTGATCGGCAAAAGTAAAAAAAAAAAATGACTTAAAAGAAATTAAAAGTAAAAAGGCAAAAAGAAAAGCAAAAGCGACGAGACCACCCAGGATTAAGCTTAAGCAGGCAGGAATAAGCTGCTGTGTCTACACTGGCGTGCAAATACGTATAAATTCTTATATGTTCATATGTATGTATGTATGTTTCCCTGTAGTATGTTGCGGCAGGCGTATGTTTGTAATGCATTGTTACCAAGCAAATGTTGATGCCAAGTGTGGCAGTGTCTTCTCCTTGCAGGACAAGTACTAGGCAGCAGCTTAAGGTCTCCCCTACATCAGCCTATAAGCGCTGCATAGCAGATTTCTTCATGCGTTTTCGACCTTTTTGAACTTACCTTTTCCTCCAGAGTAGTACAGAGAGCATTCATGCCATAAATTTAATGATTCTTTTCGCTGTCATTTTATGATGGGCAGCACTGAATTTCAGTATGCAGAGGCGGCATAGACCAGCCGGAATACAGGATTTGATATATTAAATGTGTTAATTCTGTTATTTTGCCTTAAAGCGCCTATGCAGGGTAGGATGTTGGTCTGAGTTTGATGTGAAAAACATGAAAACTTTAATGATTTTCATGTCATCAGCACCTTTTTCTTTGCCTAGTGTCTAAGTTCATGCCCACACTTGTTGGAAAAATTAGTGCGGTGCGGCAAACAGTGATAACGTGAAAAACGCGTGTGGTTCATTATAAAGGAAAATAAAGGTACCAACATATTACCATAAATAATAAAAATTGCTGGTTAGGTTTGGTAGTGAACTTCGGACGCGCTTGGTTGATTTGACGGTCAGTTGACCAAGCGCACATTCAGCTGACGGCTGACAGTCTGAACACTGCATGGGCGAAATAATAAAATCTGTGGGCGCAAAAGCCGACCAACTTGCTGGGAGTCTTTTAAAGAATCAGCCAAACCTACATAAATAAACGTAATTGTTTAAATTGAATTGTTTCGTGTATGTTTCTGTGTGTAGACGACAGTCGTCGTGTATAAGAATATAATAATAACATATACATATATATACATAGGTGTTAAACTGACAGAGGTCAATGCACACATTCGCGTGAGTAAGCTCTCATTTAATATATCGCAATTTAGAAACAGAAAACCTACAATAAATTTCTTACGTGTATACACTATGCGTGTATGTACAAATATATGTGTGTGCATTTATTTAATTTAGTGGCTCTTTGTATCCACTGAAGTAACTGTCGACGGCATACCCTTTTTTCTCTTCTTTTTGTGGTATGCTTCTTGATATTTTTCGAACAAATCGCGGAACCTGAAATTTTTTAGAACTTTCGAAAGTAATTATTTCCAAATAAAGTTTGCTTATAAAATATAAGTACATAATAACATTAAAAGATATAAACAAGGAAAAAAATAAAAGCGTGAAAAATTAAAAAAATTATTAAAAGTTAAAAAGAAAATTAAAAAGTAAAACATATTCAAAGTTAAAAAAAGTTAAAAAAGAACTTAAAAATTAAGAAATAATTAAAAATTAAAACAAAATAAAAACGATAAAAATTAAAAAAAAGCTTTGAAAGATAAAAATACATTGAATAAAATAAAATATTGGAAAAAAATAAAAATAATTTAAAAAGTAACAGAAATAATTAAAAAACAAAAAAAAAATAAAGTAAAAAAGTAAAAGAAAAAGGGAATTTAAAAAAAATTAAATCAAAAAATGAAAGAAATATGAAAAAATTTAAGAAATATAGAAAAATTAATAAAAAACTATAAAAAATAATAAAATCCTATGAAAAAATAATAAAAAAAGAAATAAAAAAGGAAAAATAATTAAAATACAATTCAAAAATATATTAAAAAAGATTAAAAAAAAAAGAATATAAAAAAATGTAAAAATATATTTAAAAAAATTAAAAATTATTTAAAAAAAAATTTAAAAATAATTTCAAAAAAAAATTGAAAAAAAATTAAAAAAATAAAATAAAAAAAATTAAAAAAAAAATAAAAAAATTAAATAAAAAAATTAAAAAAAATTTTTTTTTAAAATTAAAAAAAAAAAAAAAAAAAAAAAAAAAATTAAAAAAAAAAATAAAAAAAAAAAATAAAATAAATAAAAAATAAATAAAAAAATAAGAAAATAAAAAATAAATAAAAAAATAAGAAAAAAATAAAAAAAAAATAAAAAAAAGAATAAAAAAACATAAAAAAAGAATAAAAAAAAATTAAAAAAATTAAAACAAAAAATTTCAAAAAAAATTAAAAAAAAAAATTAAATAAATTTAGAAAAAAAAATAAAAAAAAATTAAAAAAAAAAAACAAAAAAATGAAAAGGAGATAAAAATTAAAAAAATTAAAAGAAAGAAAAAATTAAATATCAAAAAATGAAATTATTTATTGTTTTAAAAATAAGAAAATAATAAAGAGTAATGAAAAATAATAAAATAATAAAGAGTAATGAAAAATAATAAAATATAATTAAAAATAATAAAATATATTAAAAAATAATAAAATATAATAAAAAATAATAAGACATAATAAAAAATAATAAAAAATAAAAAGCAAAAACAATAAAAAAAAATTTAAAAAA